CTGACGTCCATGGGCGACGGTAACCATTCACAATCAGGTGGGCCGTATGCTAGATTGCCTACAAGGGCAATAAAAAAAATTACTAGGTGGACCGTGAAATTTTTTTTATTGGTTAGGTGGGTGGTCGAGCGCACAGCCCACCAGGTGTTAAGTGGTTACTGGAACCCATAGACATCTACAACGTAAATGCATCACCCACCTTGAGATATAAGCTCTTAGGTCTCAGTATACTTAATTTTGGCGCCAATACATTGTACAATATTTTGCGATATTAAAATGGAGTGGGGTGATAAAGAGAACCGAATCGCTGTGATTGCACAAGGTAGGTATGGAGCCAAATGCAATTTTTAAAACTCTCCATACGCTTGGTATTAGTAAAATGTTTGTGTACCGGGCTATTAATAGGTGCAATGAGACCTCCTCTGTTTGTGACAGAAAAAGGTCTGGCCGTCCACGTAGTGTTCGTACGAAAAAGGTGGTCAAAGCAGTAAGGGAAAGAATTCGAAGAAATCCTGTCCGAAAGCAAAAGATTTTATCTCGGGAAATGAAGATAGCCCCTAGAACCATGTCGCGTATAATAATTCAATAATCAAGAATGGTCCTTCCAGCAAGACTCGGCGCCAGGTCATAAAGCTCGGTCTACGCAGTCTTGATTGGAAACGAACGTTTCGGACTTCATCAGAGCTGAAGACTGGCCGTCGTCTAGTCCCGATCTTAATCCGCTGGATTATGATTTATGGTCAGTTTTAGAGAGTACGGCTTGCTCTAAACCCCATTATAATATGGAGTCCCTAAAACAATCCGTACGATTGGCAGTGAAAATTTTTCCCATGGAAAGACTGCGTGCTTCTATTGATAACTGGCCTCAACGTTTAAAGGACTGTATTGCAGCCAATGGAGACCACTTCGAATAAGCTTTTTATACTTTAATTAGTTTTATATTTATGTATTAAACTAACACACTGTAAAAGTAATAAATGTTATTTGCAATAGATTTTTTTAAATTTTTAATTGTATCTGTGTTTATGGCCGGACTTAGTAGTTACAATGGCTACCTCACCCTTCAAGCCGAAACGCATTACTGCTTCACGGCAGAAATAGGCAGGGCGGTGGTACATACCCGTGCGGACTCACAAGAGCACCTACCACCAGTAATTACGCCAATTATAATTTTGTGGGTTTGATTTTTATTACATGATGTTATTCCTTAACCGTGGCAGTCAATCGTGAATATTTGTTAAGAACGTATTTCATTAGAAAAATTGGTACCCGCCTGCGGGATTCGGACACCTTTGCATCGCTAGTTACGACTGCACCGAACGTCTTATCCTTTAGGCCACGACGACTTTCCCCTCACCCATCAATACATTAAAAAAACTGAATTTTCATCACTTGGCGAGTACTTTATTATGTTAGAATCGTTAGAAAGTAATTACAGACAAAAACAGCTGGATACAAGTCAAAGTTTCGAATAATATATCATTCATCACGTACAGACTTGGCCATGGTTCCTGATGCTGAAACATTGTAAATGCAAACAAAGACAAAACTGCTAAGTACCCCTTCTCCTATTGCTATAAAGCGAGCTATTAATTGTATAAATTAAAAAAAGGGAAACAGTAGTAACAATGGAATATGAGGAATTTTTCGAAAGGATCCCTCCATCTCCTTCTTATCATCACACCTCCCGCCATCGTAGCAGAGTTTGACAGTGCGTTTCCAGATATCTTTTTTGCCGCGTACAATCCAGCTTTGGAATGAGCTCTCTTCTACGGTGTTTTCCGAGCGCTGTGACATGTCCTTTTTCAAACAAGGCTTGTGGAGGTTTCTTTTCTTTTTTTTTCTACCTAAGTTGATAGCCTTGAGATGCTACGTCAGCGTAACCCTAACGTGTAGTTGAGCCCTCGGGGCTCAATCCAGGAGGCTAGGCGGTGCTAACACTGGCCCTAGCAAGAGCAGTGCTTCACAGAATCTAACACCGAATCGGAAACGCGACCCACTGAGAAGTTCCGCCGAGAAACTCAGTGGGCTGTGTCTATGGGTTCTAGTTTAATCGCCGAACCCTTCGTCGCATGTAACGGGTTTGACGAGAACGGTGACCGGTATTTGAGCTACCTAAAAGCACCGTTAGTTGACCGGGAGGATCCGAAATGAGGGTACTAGACAGTAGAAAGTGGCTTGGCTCTGCCCTGGAATTGCCGACGTCCCTAAGCGACGCTTCCATTTACAACAGTAACAACCAAACAAAAGAGAACATAAGCATTGATCTTAAAATGTTAGCTGTTACTGACTTTCCACTACTAAGATTTATATCACAAAGGAAAACCAATGCTAGTTTACCGAGCATAATTTTATTAATACTGTTCTATATTTCTTGACGCTACAATCTCAGGCGCAAATAAGCAAGAGTCCGTTGACCTAAGTGTCAGCTGTTTTTGACTGTGCTGCATTGCGATCAGAGCGATTTGTTTTAACGTTATCGCACAAGGCATTAAGGGCATTAATTGTCACCTAACGGTAATTTCAGTGTCGAGATAATCGGTCGATACCACGAACACGTATTGTCGAGGCGATCCTTCGAGTTCCAGTGGTAGCACCCAAAACAGACTATGAAGACGTTGCGTAGAAATAAAACGATCGAGTACCCGGACATTTTCAAGATAAGCTTGTAAGCTTACAAGTTCCGAACAACAACATTCGGACCGTTAGTCTACCGAGCAATATCACCAGCTCGGTGGAAGATCTTCTTTTACAACAAACCTTAACAGGCGAACCAGTATATATCCCAGCTGATAGTGAGTGGTGACCGATGCTCAAGGACATCAGGAAAATCAAGGACGATTTGCGCTGCTTTCTCTAATCCTCAACCCTCGTTTAGACAAGAATATTTAATAGTGTCCAGGATGGATTGTCGAGGGTAGTTCATGCCAGAGCCGGATGAGACGTGGTCAAAAATATCTCTAAACACGAACTATGGATGCGTAGCTCAATGTTTCCAGGTTTTTTATTGCTTAGATGGGTGGACGAGCTCATGGCCCTGGTTAAGTGTTTACCGGAGCCCATAGAAATCTACAAAGTAAAAGCCGCCACTCACCTTGAAATATTAGTACAACAACTGCCCTATTCTTCAAACCGAAACGCATGGCTGCTTCACGGCAGAAATAGGCAGGGTGGTGGTACCTACCCGTGTGGACTCACAAGACATCCTACCACCAGTAATGTAGTATGGAGGAACTCCGTTCCGATGGCGAGTAGTTTAATAGGCAGTCGTAGCCGCCATAAGGGGCACCATGAACATCTTCTCATGTTCCAAGCAAACACAAGCACACGTGATGCGAATGAGCTAAAATATTCCAGGAAAGTGTCGGACAAACGATACAATGTTTGATGAAGGTGAAGGGTACTCGGCTTAGAGCCAATTCGACTGCGCTTTTCACGGCGCCAGAAATGTACTCCGATCGTTCGGTCGACAACCCGCCTAAACGTCAGAAGACCAGCTGCGACCGTGGGCGGTGACGGAAACTCATATTACTTTAAACAAATCGCACATCGCAGTTTGGATGGTATCCACATTACCAAAAGGAAAATCATATTTGTAAATTTAAAATATGTTGTGACATTTTAAAATTAATTGTGGAATTTATAAAAATAAATTCTGAATCATGCTCGCTATTAAATTAGGCGAAATAAGACGCGAATATTGACATGTCGGATAATTATATATAAGATTGTTTGAATTGATTGAAAATTAAATAGGTAATTTTACGTAAGCATCGTGTTAGGCTACAAAAAAGTATACCTATTCTAATCTATTTATCAGCTGATCTGCTTAGAACTGAGTCACCCTTTGAATAATCGAAATTCCAAAAAGGAATATATACATCTACTGTTCGTTTTTGAATCTGAAAGAATACTGGATAATACTTTTATTTACTATTTTATATTTTATTATATATAAACTATTGTAGGAACACAATTTGCGGATAACGATATGTAAATTACAATTTAGTCACTGTTGACAATTGTTTAACAATAGTTATAATGAGTTGACACGACACTTATTCAAAATAGAATTTATTTAAATTTTTAGTTTACTCTTCACTAAAAAGGTTATAAATAGCGTTCATAACTCTTTATTATCTGTGCACGACTGTATAGAACAAAATTAATAGGACTTTTTGGCGGGAACGCGAGGAGTGAAGTTGTGTAATTTGTTTTATTTTGTCTATTTAGTGTTTCTTCGGGTTTAAATGTGTAATAACGGTGGTTTATTAACTGTTTAATATCTGTGAAAGTGCACAAATGTGGGAAAATGAAACAAAGCCGCTGGACGCAACTTCTCGGGAACCTCCAAAAAGTCCACTGAAAAAATCTTAGTAAATGACCACCATTTTACTAAGATTATATTTCATTCCATATCATCTCATTTCATTTAATGTCATCCCAGTTGATTAATTAATCATTTTCATTTCATTTCACTCCATATTATCATTTTTCATAAAAATAAGAATACAAATTAAAATAAGACATGACTTAAAGGTCTTAGTTACCAGGTCATAAAATCATTTAAAAAAAAAAAACAAAATTAATAATCGTAGTAACGAGCAAATTTACATGCTATTTACAGTATTGTCTTTGCAGTATCCAAATAGCGAAATTTAATTATCACAGCTGTTGGTTATTTAGTGAAGGTCACTGACATGCTATCGTTTAATGAGACCATGTAAATAAACCGAAATTGTCGATGAATTTAATGTATCCAATCATAGCTGGGACTGCATGTTTATTTATCTAAAAGCGTAACAATGTTTAAATATAATAAATTCATATCACCACGCTGTCATTACTTGATTGTGATTCACAAATGTAATATTCTTTTTTTTTTTATATATTATTTATTTTGCATTAAAAACTATGTGCTTTGTTTTAACTGTGAAGCACACATACATCTGCTGCATATTAAATAATTTGGAAAAATCATCAAAATAAAAGTTACTCACTTCTCTTCCGTCATTGTTATCACAGTTCGTCCGTTCAGTTATTGTATCAAACGTATGTAAATTATCACTAAAATGGTGATGCACTTGATAAATATCACTGCATGATGACTGACTTGTTCGCGACTAATATTTGGTGTAAACGAATTTTCCGCAAAACGCGTTTGCTCCCCACAAGGGTTAGTTGCGAACTGGCTTCGCGCAGAGTTTTCATTGGAATATATTTTCTTTGCGATATAAACTAGGTACAGAGCTGTTAAGTGATGTTGGGATTCTTACGTTCAAAGACTAAATATTGTCCAAATGCATCCAAGGATAAGAGATTTTTAGCTTCTATATACTCACCATAGTAAACAGTTTCGCCTCGCCTTATTCACACCTTCCCTTTAACTTTAATCGAAGATTGAAAAACTATAAAATAATATGTTTATGACAACAATTTTTTAGATCTGTTTTATTAAGTACTTTGAATAAACACGTCAATTTACTCGGAGATGTGTTAACTACAATCTAAATAAACAACTAGCTACTAAAAATACTCTCGGATGTGGGTACGTTAGGATTCTTTTGATTCGGATGGTGGGTAAAATTTAAATAACAAAAAGTATACCGCCAAAAGGTGCGAAATAGATAGTGAGATGTCTCCACTATTCCAAAGAACCACATAAAAAATACGAAACGCCACGACAATCGTTTGTACCAACGTCGAAGCGATTTACACAAAAGAGATCCTTTAATGGCATTTATATTTTTAGTGAGCGAACTCACAGCCCACCCGGTGTTAAGTGGTTACCACAGTCTTTTGACATCACAACACCTATGTCAATGCCCACACCTATCTTGAGATATGAGATCTAAGTTTATGGCTGCCACTCCCGTCAAACTGGAACACATTAGTACCTACTTCGCAGCAGATATAGGGAACCCGGGTTTACAAGACGCCATACCGACAGTAAATTCTTGCTGCGAATAAAATATTTTACACAATTCGACAGGAAACGACCCTGTTACTACAGTTTATTTATATTAACCGGTAAATCATCATAACATAAAAACCAACAAATCGATATGTGCTTAGTAACATATGATGTCAATAATTTGAACTAACAATGTATTATTGTGAATAATATTATGAATTTAGATAATAGCAGCATCTCAGACCCTTTTTAAATTAGGCTGTACGTATCTTTTCATTGCGTTCGCACGTCATGTACCCCGTTGTCGACGTCGCCCTAAACATGTCATTACGGATCCTCTCGATCCATTAACGGTGCTTTTAAGTATCACAAGCACCGGTCACCGTCCTCGTCGAACCCGTCGCTTGCGACGAAGGGCTCGACGAATGAATTAACCCATAGACACAACCCACTGAGTTTCTCACCGGATTTTCTTTCTTTCAGTGGGTCGCGTTTCCGATCCGGTGGTAGATTCTGCAAAGCGCTGCTATGGCTAGGGCCAGTGTTAGCAACACTCCCACACACTACAAAAAAAGTACATCGTTGAATTGTAACATTGTACTATCGTCGGCACCTCAAAGAATGCTTTGGCACTGTGTTCGGACCACAGCTGACGACCGAGTAGTTTGTTTCAGCAAATGTGTTTTTCTAACTTTTACCGAACGCCACAGAGAAGGCTGGACATTGAAAATAGGCATAGGTATTGAAGGCACTGTCTGAGAATCATGTAACTTACATTGGCTCGCTCAGAGTGACGTAGCTCGAGGCTCATGGTCAGCAGTCTTTAGACTGTGATTGAAAATCGATTTTAATTTCGAAGTTGCGGTTCACAAATGGACAGCCTGTTAGAGCACCTAACGATCGTTTTTATAATCGATTTTATAAGAATATCAATTCGAAAATCTTGGTAAATAGTAAGTCAGTGTACTCATGTCTGACTCACGTTCTGACTGGCTGAGTTCAAATCCTTCGGCAGACATCAATTTTCTTTCCTTACAAAAATACATCAGAGGTAGGTACGTGCACCAAAGAATTTTTTTCTGTCGGTTTTATTATACTTTTTTTTTTCTTCTTATTCTCAATAGCGTCACTCTTGACAGAGTGGTTGTGATGGACAGACGTGACGTGTCTCAGGATGTCCCGTCGCCACATCACTCTTGCGTGTTATTAATGCAACCTATAAATATGAAAGCTTGAATAACGTCAATGCCATTCCTGTTTTGTAACTGCTGAATTAAGAAACAACACCATAAACTACTATACTTCACTTCAATCCGTGACACTTCACTCTGTTTAAAACTGCTATGTTCATACCATTGCCATTTCCTACACTAGCGCTAATTCGGTGAGACTCCCAACAAGAATTTGCTGTTTACAGGTGGATACTTTTTCGACCTGTCCCTTATACAAGATGGTACTCCTTACCTCTACCCACCATTGTTTTATAACATCGAAATTGACACGTATGTACATACTATAAGATCATGTAGAGGGGACAACCAGACATTTGAATCTACATTTTTAACCACTATTTGATTTCATTAGTTAATTCTATACTAAATATTGAACATTCGAACGATTAGCACTTACTTCTGAATTCGTGTAAAATTGGAACATCATGAATTCAATATCAACGTTCAACAGACAAACTATCTTAAGTACGTTTTAAATTATTTTTCGGTATTTTTTAATAAACGTCTTTGATTTTTAAAACGAATCCTGCTTTATTTGCATTGAATTGAATGATTTGAATTTGTGCATTTCTTTTTAAACATGACTAATCTAATCTACGACAGATTGTGTTCGACTCTGTTGACATCATTGTCACCGTAATTGCTCGGAACGCTTACTAGATTTAATCCCCGAAGCTTGGAGTCTGACTTTTCTCTTATTTGCACAATTCATCGCTGTGGTCCGGTGATTGATGACCTTGACTGCACCATAGCACCGTTCCCAGGTCGCCTTCGATAATATTTTAGATATTTAGAATTAAAGAAACTGATATTCGGTATCTTGGTGTGTATTATCTGTTATTGTTAACCATCTACACTTCGATAAAGCGGCACGACACGAGAACCCTCTCATCGTGGCCGCCGGTAACTACATTCCCGATCCTGCGGAAAGAATGGAAAGCAGTCGACGTCGCCCAAAACACGTCATCTCGGATCCTCCCGATCCACTGATGGTGCTTCTAGGTACTTCAAGCACCGGTCACCGTTCTCGTCGAACGAGTCGCTTGCGACGAAGGGCTCGACGAGTAAATTAACTCTCAGACACAGCCCACTGAGTTTCTCGCCGGATCTTCTCAGTGGGTCGCTTTTCCGATCCGGTGGTAGATTCTGCGAAGCACGACTCTTGCTAGGGTTCGTGTTAGCATCGTCGTCAGGTTTGAGCCCCGTGATTGGAAGTTAAAAAATCGATTATTTTTTTATTTGTGTGTTAGATCAGAACTTTTTTCAGAACGATTTGGATGATTCTTTCTTTGTTTGAAAACCAGGGCTTCTCAATTGTCCCTTTTTATTTTATCAAGATCAGATTTTTGAATTCTTCTTTTTAGTGCTTATTTAATTGACTTAAATTACATTGACGATAATCTCATTTTATTTTGTCTTTCTTTTTCCTAAAAACACTAATTCGTATATAGGTATTCACGGTAAACATGGCACACGCGAATGTTGAATGTATCATGTTTAACGTTTAGTAAATTTTATAGTTGAATAATTCATTATTTTTTTACATACGCTATTTTTTTTCGGAGGTCTTTCCTGTAGCAGTGTTTGTTGTCTGTCAGAGAAACTGTCATGTGACAATTAACGAATATCTTCTAATTTAATGTATTAAATTTTTGTGACGACTCCAAGCCTGACGAAAGCACTTAAACATACATTACGATTTTTGGTACATTGTTCGCTTAGCCATCGTAGTGTCAGAAATAACTAGTTTTTATATTTGAATATAATTTTTTTTATATTTTCATTTTATGTTATATATATTTATGTATATCCCAACAGACCCACTACTGGACATAGGCCTCTCCAAGCCGCGCCAGAACCATCGATCCTAGGATAAGTGTATGTAGCGGATTCCACAGATTTTCAACAAGTCGTCGGTCTACATCGTGGGAGGCATATATTTATATCTTTCAATATTGCAGTTTCATTGCTATGAACACGTAACAAGTTTATAGACTTCTGTATATGAGATAGTACGTCCGTTCTGCCTTCCTAAATCTAGGGCAAATCGTTCTCCTCTTAGGGACAAGGTTATTATTCGTGGAGACGACCATATTTTAATGATAACTTCGTCTCTAGTGTAGCAAGGATTGCAGCAGGAATTCAGATTTTAGTGTCTATGGACTTTATCGGGTGCACTTATAAATGGTTGACTGGAAATATCTGAGAAATAATAAAACACAAAACTGCTTTTTTGCACTTACGATCAAAAGTTTCTGACACATCTGAAAATTTTAATATCTTGACTTAGACTATAAGAGAATCATCACCGTTCGCTATTACAGAATAAGTCCACTAACACTTCGTCCGCTGGATAGATTCCAACTCACAAATCGTCTACACATACTTTAGATCACGTTATTCATAAGAATCGCTTTGGAAAATCTAAATGTTATGTAGGGTTGCTTGCTTACATTGAATTAAGTGGCGAATATTGGATCCTAGCCTGTAATAGAACGTTCGAGTAATCATCTACCGAATTTGAGTCTCTAGCTAAATAATATTTCTAATTTTGTTGTCAACCACTTTGCGGAGGAACTAAATGCAATCTTACATTCTTACCTACAATCTATAGATCTTAAACAAATTAGAACTACGGCTTTCCCTGGAAACTTGAACCAGATTATAGAACCTTCTAGTGTGATTGTGGCTGTGTGTCCTGGCTTCATTGCATTTACACTGGCGGTAATGGTGTATCAAAGCGAATTTTTTTGTTGTTATTAAAAGAGGAAAGTAAGAAAACTTTATGGTATGTGGGAGTTGAACCTCACTAAAAACTCCTGCCGCTCACAACCGGCGCCCTACCTCGGACCGGGCCGGAGCCCAGTCGGGGCTATTGAAACGGCGGGACAGGGTTGACGCAGAGCACATTACATCCATCCCACCGTCCCACGGACGCCGGACCGGCGACCGCCAGCGACACGACCACCGGTTCCCTCGTTCAGCGGAAGTTATAAGGACCTAGTAAGTGTTTGTGCTGTTGCTGACATAGTACTCGTAGGTAATCTACATGAC